TGAACAAAGGCACGAGCAGACATTTATCTCATTAAAAAATTCAGAAACATTCTAGTTTTAGACTTCCTTCCTCTGTGATGTCTGTAAGAAACTAGCCAACTGAGTCATCTCATTATTTTAGCATCTAAAAAAATTACTCCAAACTGTTAAGGTAGCTTGCATCATTCCATGCCCTGGAGTAACTCTGTCATTTTAAAGAAGCCAACTTCCCTTTAATTCTGATCCTTTCTCATGTACAGCATGTGGTGTGTAGTTGCCAGCTTGCCACGTCTGTATCTCATGTCTATTTTGTGTGCAGCCTACTACACCCTGGTTTTGTGAAATAAAAGCGATCAATAATTTTCATAAAATGTGAATATTCTACCTTTAATGTAATGATGATTAATACATGTTTTCAGCTTAAAAAAATTAAGTAAGTACAAAGTATTAATGTAACTAAACATTTAAGATACTGTATATATACTACAAATTCTTATTTATTACTGTAGTAACACAATGGTTTGCAGTTTTGTAACACAGTTTGTATAGCACCTCTTCGTGTAACTTAATAGACTACACTGTATTTTCCTGCCAGTTTTTGTCAAGTATTGGAAAACTTTCTAATCATGTTTGATATGCTAGATAATAAATCAACACAGCAGGATAAATGATGAAGCAGAATGGAAGGACAGAGACATGAAGCAACTCAGAGCTGAGCTTCTGAAATCCTACCCACAGCCCAATCTCCATGCTGGTCTGTGCCCTGGGCATCAGGAAGGTTGCAGATGTGCTTGCTCTGGAGCCACTGCACAGAGTCAGCACATGGCAGCACATGGCCGTATCCTTTCACTGGTCATGGGCGTATATCAGTGGCAAGGGGAACAGTGGTTACACTGGTGTTCTGGAAGATGGAAGAGTTAGGGAACTGCAGCTCTTCTGTGAGTATGTTGTAAGTTTACCAATGGTAAAATTGATACAAGATGACTTTCTCTTGGCAAATAGGGAAACCAAGTTAGCACTGAACCTGTACTTCCCTTTCATCTTCAGAGATGTCCACGTTAGCACTGTTGGAGCACACTAAGCAAGTAGTGCAGAAGACTCACCCTGCTGTTCCCAAAGATAAGTGGAACACTTTGCACTTCAGATGTGACTGTCTTTTAATTTATCATTAAAACTTATTTCAGGTGTTTAAGACTAGAAGACTGTACTTTTTGATACAGTTGTCCTTGTTTTGGCTGGGGTAGAGCTAATATCTTAGTAGTGCTGTGTTTTGGAATGAGTATGGGATTTGTTATGAGAAGAATGTTGATAATATACTGATGTTTTTAGTTGTTGCTAAGAAATTAAGGACTTTTCAACTTCCCATGCTTTGCTAGTGTGCAGGTGCAGAAGAACCTGGTGACAGGGCAAGAGCAACGAACCCAAATTGGCCAATGGAATATTCCATATCATACAACATCATGCTCAGTATATAGAGGGTTGGCCAGGAAGTGTGCTCTCTCTTCTGGGATTGCAGTTTCAGGATTTTCTCTCCTCTGGGGATCACTAGCTGGGAACAGGCTGGGCATTGGTTGAGGGGTGGTGAGCAATTGCACTGTGCATCCCTCATTTGTATATTCTGTTATTACTATTATAATTATTATTAATAGTATTTTGCATTTTATTTTATTTCAATTATTATATTGTTCCTGTCTCAATCCATGAGTCTCCTTACCTTTACCCCTCCAATTCTCTTTCCCATTCCCCAGCTCGGGGAGGGTAAGTGAGCAGCTGCATGGTATTTGGATGCCAGCCAGATTGCATCTGGCACATCAGTTTGTCTAATGTCTTAATATTTAGCATGGTAACATGAACTATAATGTAGTAGTTTTAGAGTACGTTTTCGGTACTCTCATATGAAGAGGACATGGTTCTTCTTTTTTTCAGGTGAGTTGCAGTGACTTGCAGAAGCAACTCATGATTATGACAGCAACATCTCAAAACTTCCCAAATCAGGGCCCTACCTTCACATATTTCATCATGCTTCCCCTAAATTAAGAGTTGAGCAGCAGTTGTCTTTACCCCCATTAGGACTTCAGTCTCAGCCTCCTCCGAACTCTGGCATGATGTTTCAGGGTTTCCCTAGATAGCCCATTGGTAAGCCATGATCTCAGTCCTATACCCACAATGACCCTGGTCCCATCTCTCTGAAGTTACTTGCTACTTTAACATACCCTGTCTTTTTGTAGCATAGCTGTGCTCAAAGTTTGGTTTGAGCCTGCAAAACACTTGTGCCAGCTGTGTTGATGCTGCCTGTAGTGGCACAGCTCAAGTGTGAGAATATACTTTACAGTTACGTAACAAAATTAATTTTAAAAAGGAATACTTTAACAGCTTTGCATTCTAGGCATATTAACTAGCTTTGTGTGTTGATTTTAATTACAAAGCCTAAAAATGAAGAAAATCCTTAATGAAGTTACTTAAATAGAAATGCTCACTGTTGTAATTGTTTCCATTGAACCAGAGTTGAAGATAATAAAAATAATCTGGACAACACAGGAAGGGAAAATATAACTCTCGCATATAGTGAAATATCAAATTGAATAAAAATTCTTTGAAAACCATTTTGTCTTTGAGTTAGTGAGAAAAATCCCCACTACTCGTTTGTAATTATTCCTTTAGAGTGAAAGAAAGGAATGGCTAGATGTAATTGCCTGGGAAACAGAAATCTAGTGCCACTTAAAATGCTGTAGGGTATCTAGGCTGGTCTCTGAGTGATGCTTCAGAGAGGCATGGGTCTCCTGCATTGACTGTGTCACCTCTGCTGTCTGCATGGTTATGTGTCAGGGACATCTCCAATATAACTAGGCTTCTGTGTTTTGCTGCTGAATTGAGATTACAGTGTCTTTACTGGCTGTTTTTAGCAGCTCTAATAGTCTCTGACATATCAAAACAGTATCATTTATCAGGAAGAGCAAAAATATTTGCTAATGTATACAATTGTCATTTCACTAATACTCCTTTACACTGGAATAAATGAGAATTGAGGGTGATAAAGTGCCTTACCAATCACTACAAGCCAAATGGTTGAAAGTTCTTCCAGAACAGTTGCATAAAGGGAGTGTGTGTTCAGCCAGGATTAGAATTTCAGTGGATTTTAATAGTATGAAAAAATCCTATGAAAGTACACTCAGGTAGCTGGTTTGTGTTTCCAGGTGATGGACAGGGGATAATGCTGTGCAGTAGACCAGCATCTGTAAGCAAAAGGTCCAGTTACATCTACAAATACATTTCTTAAGCATTGACATTCTCTGTGAATCTTTATCTGTGTCTATAGCATCAGGTTTAACTGTAAGAATTTTATGCTCAGTTTTTTAATATGCCTTTGGTGAATCTGAACCTCCCAAACCAAAGTCTTATTACCTATTGCTGGTTAAATTGTCAGATCTTGACACTGCTCTTTTTATTCATAACTGGAATCTTGTTCTGTGTGGCATAGCGTTTGCTTTGAATAAACACTTCCAAGTACATTAGCCTACTTGACAGACAGTAAGTCACAGGCATTGCACAGGTTCTGCTGTGACAGAGTACTTCACGTCATTTGAACATTACACCTTCTGGCTGTTCTGAGTCAGCTGTTCTGGGACAGAGAGATAAAGATATTTGTTATAAAAACCAGTTTCATGTTAGCAATGATTACTGAAGATTGCATTATGGAAGAGGAAGGAGACATACTGTTTTTTATTCTCTCAATTATTGGTAGTTTGGAGAAAGCTGGAATGAGATTCCAGCATTAATTTCTCACTGAAGAAACTTCTGTGGAACCTCAACCGTGTGCTAATTCTAAGGGGTGCTGTATTATCTTCTGGCCCTTAAAGGAAACCATAGCATTAATCCATATTCCTTTGTGGGGCTTTTAGAGTGGGTGGAAGGAATGGTAAAATGAAGAATGAACTGGAGTCTACAATTAAGTAAACTTCTATATTGATTATACAGAAGAAAAGATAGGATTTAAATGGTTTGTTTTAATTGCACCATAATTTCATTAATGTAAATGTAATGTAAATACAGAACTTCCATCAGTAGTTCTTCCCTTCTAAGTGAGATTCCTGGCATTTTCTGTGATGTTCCCTCTGAAGAGAACTGTCCAGTCTAAAAAAACTACTGGGGTTGCTTTTCTCATGGCATCAGGCACTGGGAGCTTGCCAATGTCCATTCTTTAGATTTTTGTTATGGCAACAAATCTTGGTAGCTCACAGGAAATTGTTCCTTTTCAGCAGAAATGCACGGAATAGTAAGGATCTGTGAAGCTGTGAATTGCACATAATTTCTTTACTCAACTCCCTGCTTTGCTGTTTAGGGAAACAGGAAAATAAGTATTTACACTGATCAGTGTGTGGTTGAGGAAAAATAGATCAAAAAAAGAATTCAGTAATGCAATATCTCTAAGTAGCTACATAGGAAACCTTGTCCTCTCATCACGGATCTGGGGCAATTGGCATGACTGATCTGGTGTGAAGGACAGGCATATCCACAGAAATGGTGTGCACAATGTGCAAATAAGCTTTTCATTCCCTGTGTCATAAAGAACTGATAATCTAACTGACACTTTCTGGTTCAGACCTCCAACAAGGGTTTCAACTCAGCTACTGCCCAGTTGACCTAGAAATGGCGAAAGTGTTTACAAGTACATAATGCAGGCATAGCTTTTGAACGTAGATTTGCTAAGCCACTAACCACCTCAGACTACAGATGCTTTTAACTATTTTGCAAGCTAAAAAGACAAGTTTTATCTTTGCATAATTAACAGTTTTGCTGACTTTCTTTCCAGTGTCTTTGACATAAAGCTTATAACATGTTAGTACATTTAAATGTCATTGTTATTTAATATAATTATATATTACTCTACTAGCCAGTTAAACAAAAAGTATTTTGTATTTTCTCTTGATTAAATTTTTGATTCCTTGGCATGTGACTAGCTCTCTTTTTAAAAAAATCTTTTTTCCTTCTTTTTTTTTTTTTTTTTTTTTCTTTTTCCTCAGAACTACTATGGAGCTGCCAAAATGATTCTTTCTGACAATCCACTTGGCCTGACATGTGGAATGGTATGTCCAACATCAGATCTCTGTGTTGGTGGCTGCAATTTGTATGCTACTGAGGAAGGACCAATTAATATTGGTGGATTGCAGCAGTTTGCTACTGAGGTAGGTAGGACTTGCAAATGTATGAATTTTTTTGCGTGTACCAAGGAGTATCGTCTAAGTGGCTGCCCTTGTTAATGATGTGTTTAAAAAAAGTTGGTACTAATAAAATAAAGGTGTAGGAAGTTAGAATAATTATCCTTTTTCTTACAGCACATTCAGAAGCTTATAAATGCTTTACTTTAAAGGAATGTAAGAAACATTATTTGTGAACAAGATGACTCTTTAGAAACACTAGTAGTTGAGACAATTTGTTTTATAATGAAAGATTTAGCTAAGCCAGGTGAAACTATAGATGTTACTGAAGTAGGCAGCATAAGGGAAAAGATCAAGTGCACCAGCATGTGTAACTGCATGTTAAGGAGATGTAGAACTGTTCTGGGTTCATCCTGTAGCAGAATTAGTATGCACTTGTACTGGCTTTGGGACAAAGGAAAAGTTTCCGATTACTTAGACTTTTTGCTGTCCTCTTTTTGTCAAAACTAAGTAAATAAGTAGTTTCAGGTTAACCTGAAATATGTCTATGTGCTTCTATCTAGATAGATACAGACGCACACGCATGTGTGTATGTGTAAATGTATTAGTTCATAAAGGTATGGATATATTTTGGCTACTGAAGCAAAGATTATTACTTGCCACTTGATGCTAGGAAGTCTTCTCAAGGGTTTCTATTCAGGTGCGTGTGTCTTATTTGTGACTGTATAGTTTCAATGCTCCAATTTCCTCCTGAAGAAAGATGGAGGCTACTGCTCATTTGTTAACTTTGTTGGAGGGCATGGAGAATTTGTACCAAACTCATGGTCTCAGCTGGCACCTCATCTGATCTGTCTGAAGTAACTTGGGGTAAAAATTGTGATTTTTTTGTTCTCTGTAAAAGTGAAGAAATTGTGTTTATATAAAAAAAGACATATGCATGTGTTAAGATTGCACATTTCCGTACAGTCCTTAGGTAGTGAGCATTGGGCGGATCATATTTACAAACATACAGTGAAATTCCAGTCACATTTACAAAGCCTGAGAAAAAAAACTTTGTAGGACAGACCAAAATAGAAATGTGAATCAATCTGAACATAACAGGTTATAAGTCTGTAAGGTCATTTTTTTTTCCCCTGCTGTCATTCATAGACTTCAGACCCCCTTCTTAATGGCTATGGGTCATGATTCAACGAGGAAACATTGCTACGTGCTGGAGTTCTTTTATCTGTTGGTATCCCTCCTATCTTCTCTCCAGAAGACTCATAAAGCTTCTGGAGCACCTGCTAAACTTTTCTGCTACCTGCTGCTGCACTTTCTCTGCCTTCTGTCATTTAAGTAGCTATCCACTTCTATTGTCTTGAGATTTGAACATATAAGCGTAAGAATCAGTACAGTTTGGACCAAAGTTCTCATTTACAGGATGAGGCTAGAGACACTGGACTGTACTTAAATTCTACATATATATTCAATAGTTGGCTTTTATCAGTCAAAAGGCAATTTTATTAGCTTTTCTTCTAATGGCCTTTATTCCTTGTATATAAAAACCCAATATTTGTTGCAAAGCAGGAGACTTTTTTCTTAAAAAAGGCGAACAAAAAAAAAGAAAAAAAGAAAGATTAAACAGTAGTCAAGTAAATGGTAGGTACAATAGTGAAATATTACTGTTTAGAAAAGAAATGCAAGTAATTTCTGTTAAAACTTGATTTGTGTCTCCTTTTAGCTTTAATGCTATGATTAATAGATAGGAATTATGGCTTGATAGATAATGCTAAATATCTACCATTTTTCTTCAAAAATCTTTAGAAATCTATTAAAAAAGCTCAGTGCTAGCACAATGATTGATATGAAAACTGCAGAGAGGATGAATAGCTGAGAATGGCTTTGCTCCAAATGTTTCAGGTTTTTTTAAAGTTATATTAGTGTCAAGAGTTCTAAGAAAATAAAATTGTTGTACAGTTCTATTTAACACTAACAAAAATAACATTTCAGTAATATTTTTATAGTATCCTAAAATGTTAATATTAGGTGTTAATAACCTTTAGATTTACTGCTGTTTAACAAAGAATTTGTATATATTGTAGTATTAGTAATAATAGGCAGTCACTTTGGGAATTAGTGCTTTTATTTTTTAGCTTTCATTCAGTTAAATTTTACTGTGCAAGTATGTATAGTTGAAAAAGAAATATAATGGTATGAGTACTTCCAACAATCATTATAAAAATATAGATTCAAATACTGAAGAAAATCATGAGGTACTACTGCTCACACAAAAATTGGTCCCGATACTGGAAGTGAAGTGTGTTGACAACTTTACCTATATGAGTAACTTAGTAAATTGTGTAATTTGGGCGTGCAACATGTGTTACTCTTAATGAGAGCTGCATGGTAATTCTCATGCACTATGTAATAGTTTGTCCCACAGGGACTTATTTACTAAAAACTCCATTGTGCATAAAGACAGTTTTAGACTTTTTTTTCCTTGGAATTAGTCTCAGGATCATACACTTGATGCACTGAGAGAGCAAACAATAAAAAGGCACAACTGCTAGCTGTGGTAAACAATAAAATTGCAGTAAAGGAGGAATGTGGGCTTAAAATGGAAAATATATGGGTATGACCTATGTCTCTTTGTGCTTCTGAACAATGACTGATCATCAGTTCACACTGCAGGTAAAACTCCCTAATTGTAAAATATTTGTCTTGCATACAGTAGAACAAAAAAAATGGCACCTCACGCCTCCTGCGTTTTCCTTCTACCCTTCCATATAGTTCTGTAACTATGTTAGGCTCATTCTGAAAGTAAATGGTAATTCAGTCTGAAAAAAAGTGGATTTTGACAATTAAATGTTCAAGTGGAAAAAAAGGAAATGTCCGTTTGTATTTGTGATGTATATGCTGAGATGTAGTTACCACGGTAACTGTTGCATCTAGAGAATAACATGGAGTAAAAGCTCACCATTATAAATGATGAGTGTCAAGTGCAGGTTACACCTGCTACTGCATGGGTCAAAATTATATTAATGTCTTTATCTCCCTTGCCCAAGTACTTTAGAATCAGGAAACATCTCTGGTTTTGGAACACAAGTTCAGTGAAAATATACTGAGGTTGCAGTGACAATGCATACAGGCGTGAGCTATATGACTGTCAGTCCCACAAAATAAACTAAAATTACTGGTTACACAAGTACAAGTTTGTAAGCTTGCAGTGAAAAAGCAGCATGATCTATTACGTTGTCTGTTGTAGTATTAGTAAGAAACTCAAAATCTTACATTTCTGGATAGACATTACTGAATCTAAAGGTTCTCCTGTGTTTCTAGTCAATCATTCTGAATGGAGCAGCACAAGTTAAATAGAAAATGTATTATTTTAATCGCTGCATACTAGATTTGAATACTGAATGATTTAGTACTATGACTCTTGTGCCAGCTGCAGTTCTGGTGATTTGTTCCTCTCTGGAGATATATTCTGGCTGCTGTTGCAGCAGAAAGAAATTGGAAAAGGAAACTTGATATGTTTTTTTTTTTTTTCCTAAAAGATGCATTGTATGAGCTTACCTGCTGATAACTCAGGGGCATCTCAGCAGAGTGCCTGGTCTGGGAGGTGGGCTGTGGTGAACATCCGTCTCTTGAGTGCTGAGCTCCCTCCTCTCTCAGCCCACCATGGGCAAGGAAGCAACAGCTGCCCAAGGAGATTGTCGTGGAGGGGTGTGCTGCGGACTCGGGCTCAGGGTCCCTCTTTCAGTTGCATATTGACAGCTCTGAACAGTCTTAACAGGTGGGGGGAGAAGGTGGTTCTTGTGGAGCTGCAGCTCCTGCAGTTGGACAGCCTTGGGATGGCTACGTGGGCCCCTCACTGTTGCCAGCATGCATGGGCATGCTGCATCAGCAGAGGAGGACTGTTCTGGAGAACTAACAGCAGGACAAACAGAAAGAAATCTCTATTTATCAGTATTAATTTTTATTTTAACACATCTTTAGGTTATTTTTTCTTTTCAGTCATGTTGAAATCTAAATAATCAATTATAAAATTTTAGGTTTGTCTGGAGGGGATGGTGTAGCCTTCTACAATAGTTCAAGGGGATGAATCTAAGGACTTCTGATTTCTGGGGCCAATGCTGAAAGACGTGCGGGTATTTGGACAAGTTATATAAACTTTTCTATGGCATGTTTTACAGACATTAAACATTCTTTGGGTTTAAGGCATTTACATGAATGTTGCTATGCCCTTTTTAGCGGTGCAGTTCATGAAATGTTGAGGTATGGACTCTGCAGTGTCCTAGATCTATGGGTTTTCTTGGGACTGTCATAATGTTAATGTATAATTCTTAGGTAGGTTTGAAAAGTCTTTAATGAGATACTTTAGGCCCTAGTTTTATCAACTCTCATCTACTTGCATAAAAGTTTGCAGTACTGCAACTTTAGCTGTTAACTTGTGGAAGGGAGGATCAGCAATTTTTCATAATGAGCTCACGTTTGTCGAAAAAACACTTCCTGTGCATATTGTGCTATCTAGTGCAATTAAATGAAATTAATTGTGCGATTATGTAATTTGACAACTTCAAGAAGATTACTGAGCATGCAATTTGCTTATTTTTTTTATTAAAATCTGTGCAGAATATTATTTTCTCCTTTAAATAGTCAACTGCCCCATATTAATGTAAACTAGCCTACAGATAAATATCCATGGAAAGGAAACCAGTGGGAAAGTGTGAAAATAATACAACCAGTTCCTAAATGTTACTGATTTAATTGCCTGTATTTTTCCTTCTATGCACTGGCAAAATCTGATAACAATTCAGAATATACTAATATGTTTCACACTAAAATAAATACCAGCTAGATTCTAATGTCTATGTCAGTAGCTGTTTGGTATCTCATCATCTTAGTGAAAGGTATTTAATGTCAAACCTGACTAATAAAGTTATTTCTATAGCCTTTTAGGCATGGAAGCAAGCATTATCCTTCAAGAATATGAAGGATTTATTTATGAAGTCAAAAGTTACGTTACTAAAATTCAATTTTACCACTGCTCCTTCCATTTTCCCAATTTTTTAATGTTTCAGTCTTTTTCTGTTGATTAAAGTTTTGTGACAAAGGCGAGAGATTAAACAGATGCACTTTTTACTGAAGAAATATGACCTTCTCTGTATGTTTTGGAGACTACTATATATGTTTTTTGGCAGCCTCTCTTGTTTCATAGGATTAGACAAAGGCTTTTTTACATTTTTACACTGAGATTAAACTTTCAGTTTATTTACTGTTTAATTTAACACATTCTTTGTCATAGTCCAAAGATAATTTAAAAAAAAGGTGAATTAAAGTAAAACTATCTGACCATATTTGAATTCTGCAAGTAGGTGGAGAAGGTTGTCTACAGTATATTCCTTTTAGAAAAATTCTGATCAGAAAACTCAGTGACTGAAATGAGTTACTTTGATTTATTCTAATTTATATAAAAATGGAGATAACTATTCTGAGTAATAGTTCTAACCTGCTTTCATGGTTTTAAATGTTTTAGATTCATTTAAATCATGCTTACTATGCCATAAAATTATTTTCATCAGGTTAGCAAAATGCATTTTTCTGAGTCATCTGCCACTCTCTGCCAAATATCACATCTTTTCATCAAAACATGCTAATACTAGAGTCACATGGTGAAGGAAAGAACCAGAATTATATTACATGAGGAGAACAATAAGCTTTTCCCTGACTGCATTCTGGAAAACAGCTAAAATGAGTTGACTAAAACTTTCCAGGAAAATTAAACTTGAATCATATGTTCAGCAATCGAAACCACTGTAGTTTGCTTAAATGGGAAATATTGTGGAACCTTAATACACACATACAGTGTGTATTGCATACAGTGTGCATTGCATACAGTGCCTGGAATTATGCTCTTTTCTACTGAATATTTTGGAACGAGAACCAACCCTACTACAGTGAAAGGGTGTTTGATTTTAGAAGGGAGAAGAGAACAACTCCCCAGATTTCACACTGGAGAGAATGTTGAGCAAGTGCACTCACACCTTTACATGTTGAAGTAAAGCAAATAGGGAAAATGTAATATAAATGTCTGAATTGAGAGGATTTCAGTTGTTGGCACTTCAGCAGAACTGATTGTTTCAGTTTGGTCAAATTGTATCTCACTTGAGGACAAAGTCTCTGTAATCCTTTTTGTAAGCTGGTTTATTGGTTCTATGTACCCTAGTGGACCTGAAGCATAAGAAGTGGACAGAATCTGAGAGGGTTTAGTTTCCATAGGCCCTGGATATTGAAGTAATGATGATTGCGTTGTATTTGATCAAAAATTAAAGAACAAATGACCAGTGTTATTAATATCTATTAATAATCTATCTAATATCTTTTGTTTGTGTATGAAACGGAGACAGAAGGAAAGGCTTGCAAGGTAGTCATCTCTGCACACCAAAGGGTTTGTATGGAAGAATTTAGTGATTTTTAATTCAGTGAATTACAGTTTAGGGAAACTTCACTGTGAGGTGAGTGAAAATCTTTTGAAATGCATTGAAGCAGTTTGCTATTTTCACACAGTTACCCTGCTAGCCTTAATATGCAAAACTGCCACTGAATTCCAGATGGCGAGATATTGCTGCACAAGCTGGCTGTGCTGCATGAAGACAGTTTCACCCTATTTGCAAATAGGCAGAATTAAAGTTGACCATTCAGCCTGAACTACTAGGATTTCCTGCATGAGTGCTTGGTTTCTGAAGCTTAACAGTGCACTACAGCAGTGTAGCACTTTAGTATAACATTTAGTCGATGAGTATGACTGTTCAACAATAAATATCAAAATAATTATGTTAACAATAAAGTAAATTTGGTGATAAATTTATTAAGCATATGCATATTCATAGTGTTCAATATACATATTAAATATGGAAGTTATATAATTTGTATTACTAAGTAACCTGATAAAACAACTGCCTGAGACTTTAATGAAAATTTGGTATCATTCAAGACATTTCTCTGTGAATGTAACAAAGGAAACATTTTAGAAATACCCTATTGCATTTTGGTTATAGAGTCTAGTTTCACAGTACAATATAAGCTTTTCAGCCTGTGAAATCCATTAATAACCACTTTAAACCTTCCCTTATTGTATGAATTGTCATGTTTAAATTATTCCTTTTTAAACAATTGTCTGAATATAAGGAAGAATTTCTTTACTGTGAGGGTCACTGAGCACTGGACCAGTGAGTGCTCAGTGCCCAGAGAGGTTGTGGAATCTCCCTCCCTGGAGATATTCAAAAACCATCTGGACAGAATCCTGGTTCATGTGCTCTAGGAGTCCCTGCCTGAGCAGGGAGGTTGGACTAGATGACCTTCAGAGCTCCCTTCCAACCTCAACCATCCTGTCATTCTGTGATCTCTTGCTTCTTGCAGTTTGTTAAAATGCTATGTCAATTTACAAAGACTGTGGGAGTTTGACACAGAAATTTTAGAGGGGGAAGGAACTAATCATTGGTTTACCTAGCATGAGTGCTCAAGTGCATATGAAGAAAATGAACATTGATTCAAAATATAAATGGAAAATTTCATTTGCAAGTGGGATTGCCAACATTTAACTTGGAAAACCTTTGCTTCTTGAGTACTAAGGAAAGAAAAATCTGTTGGTCAACTAATCAAATAGCTTAAATATGATATTTATTAAGACAAATGACAATGTATGTATTTTAGAGGACTAGTTAGTACTTATAAAACACAGTTCTGCATTGAAATAGATGGGGAATGATATTATCTTCTGGTGCAGACCTCAAGTGTTTGTTATATGACTGTGAATCCCAATGCAATGAGCTTTTGGTATAATATTGTGCTTCTGCTACAAAGATATACTCCTTGGGTTAAATATTTTCCCACTAATGCCTAAAATAAAATGAAGCTGTAACTATGCTTTTCCATGCTTATAATCTTCAGTAGCCTGCAAGGGCTGTGAGTCTATTATTTCCTTTTATAGATTATGCAAGACAGAGACCCCATTCCTTCCCCTACGATGTATGTAAATGCAGAGGACAGCGAAGTCTAGCTCAGTTAACGTAGGATATTTCTGCCTTAGCCTCTTACCCGGGTGCCTGAGCAAAGAACTGATTTAATGCAAATCTGAAATAAACAGTGTGACACTGCAACTAGGTTAGGAGTCCGTTGTGCTGGGTTCTGTATAAATACATAACAGTGGTCAGAGACTGTCCCAAAGTACTTGTAATAGTCAAGACAGGATGGAGCAGTTCATCACCATTTTACAGGTGAAGAATTGAAGCATACACCTATAAACTTTGAACACCCAATTAAAAAGTGGAAAACATCTGAAATAGATGAGCAACTAACATGAAATAAGTCCTATTAGAATTATCTAAGAGGAGGCATTTAAAGCATGAATTGCTTTTGAGAATATAGCGCTGAAGACCAGGAGCAGTTCCTAAAAAAAAAAGGTTCAAAGCCACCTAAGGCTGATTACCTATCACCTCTAAAAAGTCAAACCATAAGTGATTTATACAGGATCACACAAGATATTTCTTGAAGGAGCAAAGTCTCTTCACTGGCATTGCAATCCTTTGCATTATTCACAAAAATACTTTTCTAGTAGTAAGAATAATGTAAATGTTATTTGGAAGAAAATATGTTATTTGGTGTTAGAGATTCTCTGCCATCTGGCTAACTTTGTATTACTAGTCTATTACTGGTAGACTGGTTCCATCTTCTATGTGAGATTTACAGTAGTGAAAGATCTGACTTCAGACATTTTTAAGACAAAAAGAACCATAGAAGGACCTGCAACTACAAAGTCCCTCATAAATGCACACATCATTTCATTTGGGAATCCTTATAATGTTACAAAGTGATCTGCAATAATACATCAATGTTATGTGGCAGTACTAGCAGAAGCTTCCATCATGTTACTCATAATAAAATTTAAGTAGGGAATGTAAAGTATGTAATCTGTTGAATGTATTGTTTTTCAGGTGTTCAAAGCTATGAATATTCCTCAAATCAGAAACCCTTCCTTACCTCCTCTAGAAGATATGCCTGAAGCCTATCGCGTGAAGATAGCTCTCCTTGGTGCTGGACCTGCGAGTTTAAGTTGTGCTTCCTTTTTGGCTCGATTGGGCTATTCTAACATCACCATATTTGAAAAGCAGCAATATATTGGTGGCTTAAGGTAAAAACAATGACAACATAGCACTGTTTCCAGTGGTTGTAGAAAGCATAGCAAAAAATATTTTGCAAACATAGTTTATAAAAAATCCCTCTACCTTTAACAAAGGAGGAGAGTAGAAAATTTCAGATCTGGAAAAGTTGTTTTTTATTTAAATAATTCATAATTCAATTTAAGATAGATACAATTACAGGCAAACTTTAACTGAAAATCTGGTGGCTATGTCCTATATTATCTTCATATGACTTCTAAAATTCCAGGGTGCAGTTGTTGCTATCAAATTAACACTTTAGAAAATTATGTCAGGAACTGTTTTACCTTATCCAAAATTTTTAAAACTAGATTAAGTATGTGTAGCCCTATGTAGTGAAAGAATTAATAGATGTTAAAATGCTTTGGACAGATACTAATTTCATGGCTAATTTTAAATTTAGAATGGTTTCACGAATTTACCTTATGCAAATGAAGGTAATAGTGAATAAATACATCGTGTACGCCTGGACTTGCAGCTTTAGTAAACCATACTATAAGGGTGAAATAAACCCTCTACAATTCTCAACCTTCAATAAATTGCACATACACACAGGAAAATACCTTTGCAGTTTCCCTGTGTGGTAAACATTTGGCTGATATTTGCATGGTGTCGTGTCCTCTACACTAGAAGGTGTATTTTTACCACTGTAACAATGGCTGAAATAATATCTTAGGGGTTTGTTGGAATCCCTAAGTATAAGATGAAATATTTCAGGGACTCACTAGTGGATACCAATGCATTCAAAATCAAGAAGAAATTTTACATGTTGAAGATGTACTGACACTAAAGTCTTTACAAAATAAAAAAGTGAAAAGAAACAGAGAGAGAAATAAGGGTGACATGCTTGCATTTCTCACTGCAGCATCACTGAAATCAATATAGTTGACACCATTAAGGAATTTGATCCATAATGTCATAATGTCAAATACTTATTCAGTGCTCTGGAAGATAGAGAATCAATGCTGGAGAAGTTGAACTGGTTACTTTCATTTTTCCCAGTGAGGTTCAGAAGTATTCTGCCTAATTATCAAGATGTTAATACATAGGCATTTAACTGTGGATCTGTTCTACTAGAACTGGTTGCCGTAAAGGATTGCAAATATAGTGTATGATATACCTATTCACCTGTGAAGTAACACATGTTTTCATAAATCAGATGTAAAATCAGTTTTGTTGCTGTGAAGTGGTAAGAAATAATGAGGTGTTTCTAGTAATGAAGCTTTACTTGGTGACAGGTTAGACTCACATTGGACTCAAAAATACAGCACAGTACTTCCTGCAGTTGCCTACAGTAAAATGCTGCAGTTGCTTACTGTGTGCTTACATATTTGAAGCAATGTGATCTTAAGGTGCATCTGTTCTTTATGTTCTAAGCTGAATTAAAAATAAAGCTTAGTCTGTTTGTTATGCTGCAAAAAGCCTTGCACTATGTTTTGCCTGTTCTGTTGGCATTCTTAATGGTCAAGCAGTGCATTTTAAAATGTCTTTCTTTTGAGTCTTAAAGGACACATAGAAATCAAGGTCAAATTTTACTTCCATTCATTGTAGAAAGTTTCACATCTGGTTTAAGGGCATCAAATATTTTTGTCCTTATTTGAATCCTGGAACATAAGAGAGGCTGGCCTGTGGCAGCAATCATCCATTATTGCATTTGTAAGTCTTTGCAGTACATTTTTAACAAGTTTAGGTTATTGATGGGTGTGTTTTCAAGGCTTCATAAACTATTGCAAATGGCTAACAAGACTAAATTAATTTTGTATTTGGAATCACCTGTTTGGAAGGGCAGTGCTTGTGCCTTTTTTAGTTCGCTCTGCCTTCTCTTAACTGTTTTTGACTGCAATGTTCCTTTGCATACATGTTACATCATAGCTAACTTTAATAATATTGCAACAATAGAGAGGTGTCTAGTGATTGCGATTCCTGTGGTGTGATACTGAAATGTAGCATAAGTCTGTGGTTGTCTGAACATATCTGAATTTTTCACATTCACGAACAGGTTTTCCTACATTTTACCAGTTGTGTAAAATTTATGCTTAGTAGTAGAGTAGGCATGAGCAGGTCACTCTTTTGCTTAGAGACTGTGAACAAGCTTCACTGCTCATGCTCGTAGCTATGCCACTGGTTTACAACATACCAAAATGTTTCTCTCACTAGGCCAAAGGGGTGTCCATTGAACAAAATTAATTTGGGATCACCAAGAAGCACCAAGCATCTGTCCAAGCACATCTAACTTAGATCAGATTTGGGGAAGAAGTGAATTTGTGGGACACTGTTCCCATCCACTGCATCACTCCTGTACCTCTGCCCAGTTTCCTTCTCCTCCTCTGTCTCTGCATTGCAGTCAGAGACTGTCTTCTGCTGCTCACAGAAATTGTATCAGAATTATTGATGTACCACTTGACTTTCATAAACTTCTTATTTTCATGGTAAATGTGCATGCATGTGTCCCCACAGAACTGTGGGTACTTGTATATGAACATATATGTACATTTATGTGTATATATAAGTAGGTATACTCCCAGTATATACCCAAGAAAAAAACTGTAAATAAATGTTTAATAAGAGCAAAAAATCAATTACAACTTCTGACAGTGACATAATGCAGCCAGTGCTGTTCTAGGTTCTTTTGAGAGTCATGGAAATGACAGACTTTCAACAAATATATAGGTGGCTTGGAAAACAGAACTTTTCTTTTTTTATTAGATTTCTTTATTGAATCTCTGTTGCAGAATCATATTGATACATTAGTTTCTGCCTCAGACATGTTTTTACTTAGCATGACCTATGAAAATTGTATTGTCATGACACATTCATTGTATCTGATATTTAGAACACTTTTCATTGCACAATGGTCAGGAAAGGTGAAAAAGGGGCAATATTAGGAATTATAAGGAGGACCACCCATTTCTTATCAATAAAATTAAAGTTGATGGAACTTTAAAAAAAAAAACAAACCACCAACAAAAACCAACCTTCTGACTTGTCAAAGTTAAAGATGTTAAAGATTGTGTGGATGTTAACAATATGTAAAGTAAAGCCACAGTGAATCTCTTGTGCCAGTGCTTTGTTACAGAAATTATAGATCCATTAATTAGAAAACAGATTAGACTGTTTGAAGCTTAGAAATATCTGGGGAGAGATTTTCACTTTTCTGCATAGTCAGGTTTTTTTATCTTCATTGAACAAAAGTATCTAAAACACAATTTCACTGTGTTTACCTGTAATGTGTTTATTGGTAGAGATTTTGAACTGGCATAAGTAAATGTCATTTCATTGGAGATAAAGATCTGTACCAGTAGATATAAACTGAGATTCTATGCTCGCACTGCAGTTTTCCCATACAGGAGATGTGTGATTCTGGGAACTTGAAGATATCATTCCTAAACTTCCCCAGGAAGAGAAAATGCCAGCTAATAATGTTAAGTCAAAAAGCAGACTTGAAACCAAGAGCTGATAGAAAATTACTGACTTTGTCCATCCTGAAAGATCATAAAAAATTATGAAATAGAAATGGAGGAGGGTACAGTTCTAAATATTATTGATCAAAATAGCATACACAGCACTTAAAAAATATATACGAAATTTGATTCTTTCTCATTAGGTAGCTTAATGAATGATTGCTAGAAGATCACATTGCTTTTAGTGGCCATGTGATCTTTTCTTAAATTGATATATTAAGTTTGTTTAATGTTACATATTCTGGTGAACAAAAGGAATGGAGCTGAAGCCCACAAGTGTGGGCAGGATTGCCCTCAAGGTACTGCCTTCCTGGGTGAATAGCGTTGGATGAATAATGCTGTTTTGTCACTCTAACAATTTTAAAAAGCCAACGGTCAAGCTTCAGCACATTTCCATTCATATACATCAAAATTAACTAAGCTGTATTATAAGTATTGTAATTTTAACAAAAAATAAATTCCTTTCTTCCTCATAGCTGGAAGTATTTTTACAAGTGTTTTTATTAATTTATTTTAGTACATCTGAAATCCCCCAGTTCCGATTGCCGTATGATGTAGTGAATTTTGAAGCTGAGCTTATGAAGGATCTTGGAGTGAAGGTAATGAAAAATATATCCTGCCTATATATAACTCAAAAAAAAAAAACCAAAACCAAAAAAACCCAAGAACTCTGCCAAGATTAACAGTGAAATGTCATGCACATTAGTAAAGAACAATTAAAACTATGCTAGACAGAGGCTGGAAGATGCTTCCTCTTGCTCAGGGCATTTGTCTGTCTCCTGTCTGAATGCCACTAGTTTGGAAAAGGGCAATCAATAGTTCTCATCTGGCATGCCTGCATGTGATTAATTGTCTGTAAGAAACAAATTCCTAAATTGCTTTAGGGGTTCAATGTAGCTATTGGAATGATTTGATTTTTTTAATCGAATTTTTTTCATCCAAGTTTGGCACTACTTAAAACATTAATATTTGATACTACTTTCATTTTGTCTCCTTGAGTTTTTTTTTTAATGGTTTATCATACAGTTTTGCATCCAACTTAATTTTATAATAAAATGCATCAAATTAAACAAAATGTTAACATGATCATCCATTACAGACAATAACAGTCATTCAACTTCTTGGAAAGCAATAGTTATGCATTATTCTGTTAAACAAATGTGTGTTGTTTATAGATAATGGGAACATTATTTTATTGTTAATTTTGGGCTTGAGCTGAAGATTTAGATAGTATTTGCAAGTGCTGCACATTTTAATAGAAGTTACAAATTTAGAATGCATCACTGGATCAAATTTTTTAGCACCAGGAGGGATAATATATTTTTAACATGATACTAAAGTGTTCAGTGAAGCAAGAAATTCTTCTTGGAATCTTTCATGTTGGTTTATATCGTAAAAGCAGTAGACTGTCGTCACAAGACCCAAGTGAGAACCTTATCCTGCACAGGTTTTATAAAAATGTTGGTAAGATGTAAAATAAGGCTTTAAATGCTACAGGTCTCTTTCTACTCTAATGTTCCCTTTGCAACCCTTGAAAAGACTGACAGAATGCAAGTTGAGTTAGAGAGGAGGCTAAAAACAGAGCACTGAGACAATTTTAGACAAAATTGCTGGGCATAGGCTCCTGGGAACTTTCTGAAAAACTCAGTTCCTCAGGGCTCCTTGTTATGACAAGGTCTCCAGAATGGTCTGATAAAGCCACCATGCCATCTTGACCTGCAAGTCTTCTGTGGTTTTGAAGTGCAGCAGAGAATCTCAATGTAAATTTGCTTCCAACCTCTGCTATTGGTTTGCAATTGACCCCTTGGTAATCTGGTTAACTAAGTAACTTAGCTTTATACCTCTATAAGCTGGAAATACTTTCTGGTGTTTACTGAAAGCATGCAGATCTGTTGTGGGAGGTGCTATATTGTGTAAATGCTCAATAGTGCTGTTTATTCAAGTAATTCTAATGAAATTAGTAAGAATTAGTCAGCTGAATAAGGATTACAGAGCTGGACCCTAGGAGTATTATGAATCCCCACATAAAATAGTATTGTCATTTAAATTCCTTCATTAGGTTTTCATAACATATGTACACAATAGGATAAAAAAATGTAATGACAATTTATGGAACATATTTTGTTGCCAGTGAGGATGTAGTTTGTATTCTTGATAGGATTACAACTGTACAGAGTTTTTGCACCTCTGATAAAATTTATACTAAATCTCCAATGATGAAAAAAGTCAGTACTTTAAGTATTGTACACTGTATTTTACAGCTGCCTTTTTTTTTTTTTTTTTCCACCAATAGGAAAAGTATATTAAATGTAATACAGGCAGATTCAATAACAAACAAGATATACGGTGACATGAAGACTAAACTGTTAAGATCACAAAGTATAGTGCTTACACAATAGAGTGTGGCATTTTGGAAAGTGAATACACAAGTGATGTAATAAAAACTGAGGGAAAACATTCAAGTTCAGAGTGTCTAAAGTATGGAGATAAAAATACATACCCATGTCAAGAAGTACAAAATATCAGAAGGGGAATCACATGCACTTTAAGTGCTCCAAGGCCTTGGGGTTAGGAGACATGAGCAAAAGATGTGTTTATCTTCAATTGCATGACCTCTGCACAGGAGACTGCTATAGTTGGTCTGCTGAACACGCAGCAAACACTCTTCTCCATCTCACTCTTGTGACAACTCTAGTTGCTCAACCTGTGCAGTGGCTGCTCAAAATAGTATTGCTGGTGGAAAATTACAAAAATTTTTCAGCTTTTGCTTCTGGAGGTGAATAGCAGTTGAACTGAAACAAGTATAGATTATAGGTGCATTTTTATTACTATGACTTATTCAATAAATGAACAGCAATCGCTGTGCCCTGGGCATTTTTGCTTGTCTAAATTAGAATTAACAATTGCTAGTTTAAGTCAAAACTGATCTTCTCCATAATTTTAAAAACCTTAGTTTGCCATGCAGAACGGTCCGCTTCCTCACCAGCAAGTAGGACACTGTAATTTGCACAGAATGTTTTTCAGACTTACTGCCGTCTCTGGCCCAATCTTTTGCGAGCAGGTTTTCTGAATCCACAAAAAAGCCCATTGGCTTCACTGAGGGTTTTTGGCATAAAGGTGTTCTAGCTAGTGGTCTCAGTGCAAAATTTAAGCTGTGAGCTTTGAGTGTGCAGCAGAAAGCAATACCATCCTTCCTTTGGGACTCGCATTGCATTCTGTGCAGTTGGAGGCCTACCAAGTGCCTGATACTGTGCAGGAAAGCATTGCTTGGTTTGGTGTTCAGAATCCCTGTTAATACAGAATAGTGTCATGTCTTCTATTTTCTTTATTTCTCTGTAAGAGGCTCATATCTTCACTAATGTTTTTGCAATAATCTAAAGTGCTTGTTTCTTCGTTGGTGTGCTGGGTGATCTGTTTAGCACATATTCCCTAAAGGAGGTTCTTGCTTCCACATCATGTTTCTTAAATTCTGATTCTCACATGGGAATACAAGCCTTTGTAGTCAGCAGTGAATACAGCGGTTTACTCACAGTAGAGAACTGCCATTTTCAACTTTTCTTCAGTTTTATGTTCCATCGATGGGCTTTATTTGTTTGCTTAGCTTGCTTTAACTCTTTTAGCTTACAGCAGAAAGCAAGCTAGCCTGTGGTGGCCTCCAGCTGAGGGTGATCTGAAGGTTCCTTTTACCCATACTTAGTTTAGGCACTTGCTTAATTGAGGGCCTACCTGGCCTTTTGAGCCTGACTTGGGGGGAAAAAAAATAAAAATTGCTTTGTTCGTTCACTAGAAGATCTTGCAAGATATCTGTATGCAGGACAAGATAGAAATTATTTTCACATTATCACATTAAAAGCAAATAATCTTTAATTATTTCAGATAATTTTTAGCAAAGGCCTTGCAGTGGATGGAATGACACTCCGTACCTTGCGAGAAGATGGCTATGAAGCAGTCTTTATTGGAATAGGTAAGAGAAGCTCAGTGTCCTGTGTTTTGTCATCTTGAAATTGGATGACTGTGTAAGAATACGCTGGGACTTGTATCTGTGTTAACAGCATGATGTGAGACAGCTTCAATTTGATGCATTATGAATGTATGGAATATAGGAAAATTTAAAAAAAAGGAAGCTAAAGCTACCTGTCTTAAGACAGTTATTTGTTAACATTTTCACATTTATATGATAGATTTTTAAGTAAGATGAGAATATAGCTGAATGGGTTGATTTGTTGTTTGTTTAAATAGTTAAAAAAATGGATTAAGTTACTCATAATTAATTGCCATACTGGCCTAGAGCAATACACAAGTTCAGTTTTCAATTTTTGCTAGTAGCTTACTATACTCACATGATTACTGAGTCTATATGTAAGCCAGTGATACCATGCTTCATTGCTTTTTTCTTTCCTCCATATAAAACATGTAACAGCCTTCAGATAGACTGTAGTGAAATGTCATTATGGGATAGGTTAACAAAATAAGCTGACTTTGACTTATACTAAAACTGGCATCATAGGTCTGTCTTCTTTCATATGCTAAAGAAGTCCTGCACCTGCCTGCTATTTGAATCATTGCTTCTTTTTAATGTTAGATTAGAATTGTTATCCATTTACAAGTATTTTGAAGTACAGCTGGACCCATCGCTACCATATGATAGGCGTGTTGAGCAGGCATCGCCTACAGTTGGTATGAGGCTTAATGCTCTTTATTGATCTAGACGTTGCCTAAGTGAACATAATAGGAAACAAGTTGTCCAACTGTTCCTCCTTCCTATTATTGATTACAGAGATGTAATTCTTAGTACAGCAACAACTGTTTACCATCTGGGTATGCAGTATAATAAGCTTTGCAGGTCTATTCTGTCATGTGATTATAGTACAGAGCGTTGTGATTTATATAATCCTAAATCCTCAAATTGTTAGAGACCTTCCATGTATAGGAATTCTGATGTGTCATATTTTGATGTAACTGTATGCAAGCAATGGTCCAACTTATCTTTATTGTTTTAATCTATGTCTTTCAGACTGCTTTGTGAAATCTCACCAGTGAGGGATTCATTCATAAATAAACATTTGTTTTCTGAGAGTCTAGCATTTAGGAAAAAAATTATCAGTCATTTTTGGAATATCAGTATGATCCTCTGCATTTCTGACTCAAAAATTTAAAATAACATTGTTTGGTTAAAGATTAGCAAAAATGACTGCTGAGCACTACACATAGGATTGGAATGTTTGTGTTATGTATGTGACTTTATTTTTTGACGTTAAAGTTATCATAATATAAAATATTTTGGGTTAAAATAAATGTTGACAACACTGCCATACAGATGCTTGGTAAAAGGACACAGACAGAATTTTAATAAACAAGAGAAGGTATCTAAAGCATCATTCTCCAGTAAACCATGTGTTCACTGATTATATTAGGAAACAGGGGGTATAAATGTTAATGAAGCATTATATGTTCCTACAAAGTTTTGTTATTAGAAGCTACCTTGCATTGGTGATGAAGTTGGTCCCTTTCTGTGCCCCCATGTCTGCCTGTCATCTCTTTTACAGTACTGTGTAAGACACTGGACAGTAATGTGGCCTTGCATACTGGTAGTGAAAGATGGAGGACAAACCAAGTGGTTACAGATTTCTAGGATTAGCTATATTAATGCAAGAGATCATTTATAAACTCTCAACGGCAGCATTTTTTCCATAATGAGTCTCTACTGTATTAGTTTTTATGTTCTTTGCCTACTGAACAAACATATTCAATGAAATGTCACATTTGAACATTACCCTGAATCATAGGAGTAAAATAATTAAAGAACACTATTAACATAAAATAGAAGATTTTATTTTTTTTTTTTTTCCCAAAGGTTGTTGTAATTTGCTTCTGAATGGATCTGTATCTTGTGTGGTCGGTTGACCCTGGCTGGATACCAGGTGTTCACCAAAGCTGCTCTATCACTCCCCCTCTTAGCTGGGCAGGGGAGAGAAAATACGATGAAAGGCTTGTGGGTCGAGATAAGGACAGAGAGAGATCACTCACCAATTACTGGCACGGGCAAAACAGACCGACTTGGGGAAAAATTAATTTGATTTATTGCCAATCAAATCAGAGTCAGATAATGAGAAATAAACCCAAATCTTAAAACACTTTTGCCCCACCTCTGCCTTCTTCCCAGGCTTAAATTTTCTCCAGATTTCCACCTCCTCCCCACCAGCGGCATAGGGTGATGGGCAATGGGGATCGCAGTCACTTCATCACATGTTTCTGCCGCTCCTTCTTCCTCAGAGGGAGGACTCCTCACACCCTTTCACTCTTCTTTTTTTCAGACCACTCTTCTGTTTTCATCCAGCAGTCCTGATTTCAGATTACAGCTAACACAAGTATTAAAGGATAGTCCATGAATCAGTATTTCTTATATCAAAAGTAATGATAGACAATAGCACACGTGAGAATTTAACAGGACTAAAAGGCAGCAGCCAAACAAAGGGAGGAACAACCTGTTAAATATATTCTGGGAGTGTCTGCAATATTTTTAGTTCTCTTTTAATTGTCATTTAGTTTGATGCAATTTGTAAAATTATTCAGTCTTATTTCAATGGGCAATTAAAAATGCTGACTAGAATTAGCCTTTAAAATTTTTGTTTTGAAATTCCGTTTTACTTCCAGTTACAAGTCTTTTGGGTTTATTATTCACAAGCATTAAGGCATAGGAATTAAATGTTCCAATTGAACTTTAAAAGTTTTAAAACTAACCTCTAAAACTATGCATAGAAAAAAAAATCCTTTACAGATCTCATAATTACACTCAACATACTCTGCCTAGAATCAGCTCTGCTTTTTGATAAGAAATGTTTGTGAAGAATTTGTGACTGAGCTGACAAATCAGTTTGAAAATTTTGCTATTAAAAAAAAAAAAGTCTTGCATCAGTTGCTGCCTCCTGTAAACACCAGAGAGACGCAGGGCAATAGACGATCGGCATGCTGAGAGCAAAAGGAGAAATCAATGATGGGGTGAGGGGCTAGAGGAGAAAGCGCATGGTCCTCAGAGACAGCAAAGTAAGGCAGCGAAGGGTATCTTACAGAGAACAGAGTAGTCTGAATGCTTTGTGTTACTGTGCCTCTTGGTTGATTTTCAGGGTAGTATACTTAGGATTTTTACAAAAGATGTCTATGTGTATGTGTCTCACTTGGCGATCAGAGCAAATACAGAAATACTAGGCTTTTATTACTCATCCTTCTTGAAGTTCAGCTACATTCTTTGGAAAACAGGATTCTGTGGTTGTCTTTTAAGACTCCACAAAACCTTGTATATTCTTTCTGAAAGAGAAAATAAAAACTATTTTTTTTTAATACAACTAATTTAATGAAAATTAATAACCTAAATATTTAAAGTATTTAAGGACAGGTTTCATGTGACATTCAAACAATTATATGGAAAGGCTATCACTATCAGCATATTTTATGCAGATTTTTACACAAACCTCTATCCTTATTCTGTAATGTTGTATCATAAGGTGCTGGAGCGGGTCCAGAGAAGAGCAATGAGGCTGGTGAAGGGACTTGAGTACAAGTCCTATGAGGAGAGGCTGAGGGAGCTGAGGTTGTTTAGTCTGGAGAAGAGAAGACTTAGAGGTGACCTCATCACTCTCATCAACTACCTGAAGGGAGGTTATAGCCAGGTGGGGGTTGGTCTCTTCTCCCAGGCAACCAACAATAGGACAAGGGGGCATGGGCTCAAGCTCTGCCAGGGGAGGTTTAGGTTAGATGTTAGGAAGAAATTCTTTACAGAGAGGGTAATCAGGCACTGGAACGGCCTGCCCAGAGAGGTGGTGGATTCACCATCCCTGGAGGTTTTTAAAAAGAGATTGGACGTGGCCCTTAGTGCCATGATATAGTAATTGGAGTTGGATCAGGGGTTGGACTTGATGATCTTGGAGGTCTTTTGCAACCCAATCTATTCTATGATTCTATGATAACATAGGGATTTTATGCAACATTTACATTCTTTTTGTATAAAGATCAGATACGTTTTTATCTTCAAAGATCATGTTATTTGGTAAAATACTTAAAAAAAAATCTTAAACTCTCATTCCCAGAAATTGCTTAGACTCCTTAATTTTGGTGTCTGTAGTCTTAAACTTGCAGTACTAACTTTCTAGTTAACTTCTCATTATAGGGCCAATGCTACTAGTAATGAAGCTTTCTTGCTTCAGTTTTATTGTATTAGTGTATTCAGAGGTTCTGTAAAATACTGCAAAATGGTAGGTTAGATGAGCATACAAAGTAAAGCTAAGCAGATTGTTGCTTGGGTGTATCCTAAATAATGTATCCTGCTTGCAAGGGTTAAACCTGTACATAAAAAAGGTAAAAAAGGTTCTTTCCCTTGTGGAAAGAACCTTTGTGATAATTGCAGTCATTCATAGTTAATTAACATAGCATTCAAACAATTATATAATCAGATGATTCCATTCATTGGAATGAAATTACACAGCAAAAAAAAAAGAAATTAAAAGACCAAGCACTGGTGTACCTTGTTTTTTAAAAAAATCCCATGAGATTGATTTACTGTCTCTTCCCCAAAAAGTAAGTAATCTCCTCATGCCTGTTATTATCTTCTGATTAACTATGCAGTGCCACCTGGTGTGCAGATGGGAAGAATATTACACATCAAGAGCTCTGTTCACACCCACCCACACAGATATAAACCTACGTGGCAAAAAGTGAACAGATGTTCATTTTGCTTGTGCTATAGCAAAAAATTGTGCATCGTACTCCTGATTCATAAACTAAATTTGGAGGACATGAAATCTGCATATGGGGCCTGCAGGCCCATAGCCAGCACAGATATTTGTGGAGGAAATATATCATATTCAAAATAGTTCTCATTTCAGGTTGTGAACAGACTTTTATTTGTTTGGTTCTTTGGTTTTGTTTTACCTTGTATTTCTGAATTTTTTTTTTTTTCTCTTGACTTGC